CTCTCTTATGGGAATAGTCACTGCTTTGTAGCTTGCTGGTAGCTCTTTACCATTGATTCTCACTCTTCCTTGTTTGTCAGTCACCTTTGCAAACATATGCAGTATCTTCCTCCCTCTGACCCTTGCCCAAACTTTCTTATTTGAATGTTAGGCAATGTCAAGGTAATATGCAATAGCAGCTTTGATGTTAGTAGTGTGAAGGAAGGGAGGAAAAAGGTGGCATGTTATAGTCAGTGAGTCAGCATCTGTCAGTGTGTGGTGGCTTAGGTATACAAATTTCTGGAAAACAAACATAGTGGATTTGATACCAGGAGCCTTAGAGCCTGGTTTCCACCTGAACTGAATGTTTTTATTTGTAGCTTTAAATCTTCGGTGATATACAGCAGTCATGTATAAAACCATTCATCAAGAACATATTATAGGCTGAAGGGAGGAAGATGTGTACCGAGGAGTAGAAATGAAGTATACAAAAGGGAGGTAGAGGCAAGTCTGCTGTTTCCTGAGTCCCGAGAAAGGAGGAACACAGCCACAAGAATTTGAGGCCAAAATAGTTTGCTACTTTTTCCTCACTTATATAGATAGTGGAATTTCCCAGTTACCTTTAGGAGAAAAATTAAGTTATTCAATGCCCATCTGTTGCAGATCTCAGCACCACTCATGAAAGTCAGGACAGGAGCTGTTCCTTCAGCCAACCAATCAACTTTATGCAGATTACTGAGAAAGGAGTTTGGTCCTAGAGTTGATATTTCAGTTCCTGGTTATAGATCTAAATTCTCCTCTGAAAGTAAGATGCATGTTTGGAGACTTGTTCCCCCTTTACAGCCGTTTAACCTCTTGGCATTTATCAGTCACTACCTTTTATTAGTTGTGAGCATTATCATATTTGGATGGTGGGGAGGTTCAGTTTTTTGAAACGAAGAGGCTCAGTTCCTAGGTAATATTGCAAATTAATATTGCAAACATATGAAAGACTTTTTAATCTCCTTTTCTTAAAAAAACTAATACAATAAAAGGCCTGCAAGCTTAATCAATACAGCATTACTTAAAACATCTTTCAAAATTCTTTAGCACTTTTGACTGTATTTGTATGACTGTTCAAGCTTTCTGCTTCAGATTTCAAGTAAGAATTTCAAAAGCATTAAGCCTTTTAATTTTTTGTGGGGGTATTAAGATTATTCTTTGATGTCATATTATACTACAATCTAAATCTTTTCGGATTTCTTAAAAGAACTTATATTTTGGTTGTGCAGTAAATGGACTTTGTTTTCATGGTGTGACAGATTCAGGATATTTATTTATTTGCCTGTTTGTTTGATGTTAGAAATTGCTAAAACACATGTCAGAAAACCGCATTGTCTGATTAAATTTTTTTATTGATAGAGGTGAATGGATCGTATTCCAGTACTCGTTTTGGCAAAGAGTGGCTTCATATTTTAATGCCAGGAAGTTAGGAAGAATATTACAAGTGGATGCTTACTGAAAATGTAAACCCAAATGATCATTTTCGTGTGTGTGTTTGATTAATTTTCATGTTGAGTGGTGCTGCACTAGGGTCTTTCTACTTTCCCCATGACGAAAAAGAAATTTAGGGGCAGCATTACAGTGAAGGAGAAAGGAAGAGTTGTAGAAGAGCACTCTTGAATCTTGAATCGTTAAGATTTTCATGCCATCTTTTGTGTTTACACATACTGTAGGGTTATAGCTGAAAGGAAGGTGGCTAATGTGTATCTTCATGCTCCAGCATACTCCAGTTGATGGAATAGCTTTTGTAGGTGATAGACTTACATGTTTATGATGGGAAGCAGCCTTGCAGCCAGATGGTTTTGGGCATATGTGCTTATAAATAAGTAGCTTTAAGTCACTTTGCCTCCTTTGGAGCTGTGCTGAGCGCAACTGAGATTCAGACAGCTGTGTTTTCAATGTCATCCCCCTTTTCTGTTCTGTGGCTTGCATCTCTCTTCTGTTTGCTTTGGTTTTTCTATTGAATGTACGGGCAAAGGGGTGGTTAATACTCCTGCCCTGGAGAATTACTGTGAATGAGAGTGTATATTCTGCCTCTTTGCAAACTACTTAAGACTTAGATATGGGTCTCCAGGAGGAAAAATGCATTATATTCCTGCTTGTTCTATCCTTAGAACAGACAAGTGGGGTGTGTACACATCTTTGGCTCCTGTTTTACTACTTCCTGACATGTATTGGATGCTGATACATGTAAGCCTTTTATCGTCTTTTTTAAGTTGAGTGCTGTCCATGGAAGATACTTCAAGAGAGGTTGATAATCTGGTAATGAAAGTTCAGGCTGGATCATAGAGACCCTAGCTATCTTTGGAGTCAGCAGCTGGGGAGGTAGTAACAAAGTGGAACTTTGCAGCAGAGCTGGAGGTGGTTGGATCTGGCAGCGTTCAGTATAAAACCAAGCTCTCTGAGGGAGACACATTCAATACAGATCTGTAAAAGCATGGATGGCTTGTGTTGAGTGAAGTAGGGAACAGTAATGCACTATGTCTTTTAGTGCCAGAACTAGGAAGCAGCAGATAAAACCAGCAGATGGGCAGGTGTTTGAAAGAGGAACCTTGACACAACAGATCACCAAAGTGGGAAATGCTTTTTTGTAAGATGTTGCAAATGCTAAACACTTATATAGGTTCAGAAGGCAACCAGCCAAATTCACAGAAGATAACTATTAAATACAAGGATACTAGTCTGCTCAGGACTTCTTGTGCCATGAAGTGCTGGATGATGGAAGAGCATTCCGCTGTATGCTTTTCCAGTTTTATACCCTTTCCAGGTGCCTGCTACTGGTTATTGTTGAAAACAGGATATATGAGGATATTTCATGGGCCCTGCTTCAGAAGCCTTTTGCTCTTGTGCCTGTAGAAAGTGCACTAAGATTTGGGATTGCATTGTAGATTTACTACTGAAAGCCTGTGTCACTTAGGACTGGTTTTTGTGTAGTATGCTTTTGATAGCAGTCCTAGTTTGATGCTATATTTAAGGTCTTGATGAAATTTTCATAAAATAATGAAAAAATTGGTGATTACCTGTATGGTACCAGGACTGTACTTGGATGTTGTGTTTCTCATTGTATTTTCTTATTTCATTGTAAAGGTTAGGATTCCTTTTGTTTTCCTTTGTGAGATAAACATGTTAGATTGGAGGATAATAAATTTTTAACTGACTGACAAGCCACATTTAAACCTCCCAATCTGTGTATTGGGAGGAAAAAACCCGATCTAAACAAAACCCAAAAGAAAAGGATGGAAGTATTTAGTTTCTTTACAGTCTTCCTGAAAGCAAAATGCAAAAATCAAATAAAATGTCCAATGGTAGATCGGTAAACATGGAGTCCTCAAGTGTTCCACCCATTTTATTTTGCTCTGCAACAATTCTGAAAGCATCTCTTAGACAGAATAATATATGCAGCATTTTCTTGTACTGCTTAGAATGCGGATTGTATATTTGTTGTTATTTATTTACCTTGTCCCACTTTTGTTTATTCCTATTTTAGCTTTCTAATTTGCAATTCAACTTCTTTAGCTTTGGAAGTTATTAAATATTTCACTGTGCCTTAAGTGATTCTGTATTTTTAGACAAAATGGAAGCACCGAGTGCTATAGATGCAGACTATATAATACTGTCTTTTTTCTGAGTTAGTCTCATGACATTGTTAAGGCTCAGCGCGGCATTTACAGAGCCAGTGTTCTCATTTAGCCTTCCTAGTTTGTGATTAAATGGGAGTTGCTGCTTGTCTTACTATGAGTTGGCTGACAAAAGCTAAATCTGTCACAGGTGCTACAATTTGTGTATCAGAAAATTTGTTTTCCAAATACTAATTATTCCCAAAATATCTTACTTCACACAAAGCACAGATAACACAGTCAGCAGATTTGTCCCAGTTTTATCATTGTGCTTTAAATTAGGGTTTGTCTTCTAGGGCTTGTAAAGTGAAGATGGTAGAAATTCAAATGCAGGAGAACCAATTGATTTACAACCTCTGATGTGTTTCTGCACTTAATTCTTCCAATCAAAATGCTTGAAATGTATGTTATTCAAATAATCACTGCTAAATTTCACTACTGTAACTAAATGAGCTGTTGTCTAGGGACATAGGATAGTGGGAAAAAACAGTGTTGTCTCTTGAGAAGTCATTTAATATAGGAAGTGTTTTATGTCTGAAAGACCTAGACCTAAGCTGGTCATATGCTTAAACTATTAATTTGGGAAGTTACTTTAATATGATGGAAGCTTATCAGGAATTATCTTTCTGGTTGTTATGGGAGAAGAATGGACCCTCAGTTATTGAAACTGTGGTGGAATAAGTGGAAGCATTCAGTTTATACCCTCCTCAGATTCTGTCATGTATGGAGTGAAAACACACATGTAGGTACCTGTGCTCAACACTGAGTTGGGTTCCTGTCACCTGTCCTCCACTGCTCCTTGTCATGGTGAGTCTTTGTGATAACCCGTTACAGCCCCAGTTGCCAGTATGGTGTATTTTGACATTGAAGGGCCCGGATCTCCCTAGATAGGAGTTTGTAGTTCAGATAGATAGGCTGTTTTCAGTTAAATCTTTTGTAATGAATCCAACAGTTATCTAAGTGAGTAAATTTTTGACACTAGATGCAGAATGACCTGCTAAAATGGCAGTTGGAACTGGGTTTCAGCAGCTTTTCCTTTCATTGCTGAGAATTACCTAGGAATCCCTTCTAAGATTAGACATCTATCTTAAATATATATTCAAAATATTTAGTTTATAGATTGACCTACACAGAAAAGAACATTGAATATTGTAAATGAAATTTTTAGCAACAATTTTTGCATTGCAAACTAGCTTAAGAAACTGTTTATTTATTCCCTTAGGATGAACATATTGTATATTTCTAGATTTCTAACAAATGCAAACATTGATGAGATTTAACTTCTAATAGCAGTGATTCACAGCTCTAGCTGTTTGGCTTGTGTATAGTAATACTGCTTTGTATTTTATTTTATTTCTGTAGGACTATTTAACCATTCACAAGTATGGCAATGCAGCCAGAAATGATCTCTGGAACACATTGTCAAAGGTAAAATGCTTTAATCTATTGCACTAAGGGATAAGCAGGAATTTACTGTGCTTGGTGAGGTTAGAAGTGAATAGTGCATATTGAGATCTTCAAACCCCAGAATAAATACAAAAATTGATGCCAAGGAATTCCATTTGAGTTAGCCTAGTAGCAATATTAAAATATGGTTTTTTTCAGCATTTCTATTCTTTGTTATATTAGAATATATTTTTTGCATGTGCTATGTCACTGATGTGTAGTGAAAGATACTTCATAGAATCTGCTGTCACTGACTTCAGTGGCAGCATGCTGAGGCCCATACGCTGTAAAAGGCTTGGCTTGTGTTTCTAGAACCTGGTCTGGGGATTTATAAGGAAAGAGTATAGGTTTCATAAAGTGAGCCAAGCATGCCTGAATTTCTTCCCTACATGGCTAATCTGAGATGGTACAGTCAGAGAGTTTTGGCATAAGTACCAGCCCAAGCCATACAGAACATGGCAATCTAGTTGTAACTATTGACATCAAAGCTAGATTTCAGCTGGAGGTCAAAAAATCTGCATTTATCTAGACAAGCAGGTATGTACATGTAAGCTAGGTGTCCAAGCTCCAGTTGTTCTGAGTGAGTCTTAGGTTGCCCATTCATAGACTTCTAATAGTGTTTACCTTAGTTTATCCTGCCTGACTTCCAGCTACCACATGATATAAGCATGTCCATTATAGGTTACACCAGTTCTGAAAGAATGTGTTGAGTATTTTAGGACATGTCGTTTGATACTTGGTGAATAGGAACAACTGGAGTCCCAGAAATCTAGTCAATATAGTCAGCACAGCATAGAGAGCAATTCAGTTGACTAGCCATTATATGATTATTTTATAAAGAGCCTGAACTTCTGACTGTTGACTAGGGACTTGAGATAGTTGCTCAAATATAGGCAGCTAGGGCCAGAATAGGTGCAGTAGGATGTTCAAGACGTTAAGGTGTGTCTAATAGATTTAACATAATTGTTAAATTATGTTATATGATATATGGAGAAATCTGTGCTCTTCTGAAGTGGCAGGTAAAGGTCAAATGACATTAACGACATACATGTGGGCAACTGAACCAAGTCCTATGTCTGTACTGACTGCTGATGAATTGAGGCATGTAATGTACAGTCAGGCTTTTAAATCTGTGTCTTAATCTGAAGCTGAATGCCACTGCAAAAGTCTTTCTTGCTTCTCACCTGGTCCTTTTCTCTGTTAAAGCCTTTGGGGCAGTTCTGGGTGATGGAAGGTCAGAGGGATGTATGTAGTCTTGAGAGAACCGCAGAACACACAGCTAATAAAGTAGAACAAAAATGAGACCGTATTTTGGTCCGTAACCACTATGGCTATACCGTATGCTCATATCTATTGTTACAGCTAATTCTGTTTGCCTCAGCTGTAAATCCGTTTGTTGTCAACCACTTTGTTCCAATTGCAGCTTCAGTTCTGAAGACATCTTCTGCTTGTAACATCAGAGGTTACTCGGTCTGTGATCTCGGACTGTGTTTGACAGCTAGGAACATTTCCGTCACTGAAGAACAAATGATGCCTGTCATTCTCCTCATGCCAAGTCTCATCTCCCGTGAGACTTGGTAGTATCTCTTTGTATTTCAGCTGAAACAGCATTTTTATTGACATATGGAATCAAATATGAACACATTAATCCTCCATGTGTTTATGACAGATGCAGTTTATGAAGCAGCAGGGGTTATCTTGAAATACATAGCCTCACTTTGGACATAAGGGACAATATTTTCAAATAACTAGTCATTTGATTTTCAGAGCAGAGGAGCTCTGTTAATTTAGAGCCCTTCAAATGTGCTTTGTTGGAGGTGCCCTAGATCAACTAACACTTTTTTAACCTTAGCTGGTCAAGAATATATTTTGGAGACAGCCACCCAGTATTTCTGTGGCTGTTGTTAAAATCCTGTAAAGCAGGTGCCTGAGTGATGTGGGAAACATGATTTTCTGACTGTCACTCTCCTCTCTGTTAAGATTACTCAACATTTATCTTTAAGAAGTACAGAGGCTTTTGGTTCAGTTATGTAGTGTGTGTATTGGGTGTAAACGTGCATGTGTGTCTTGCACACACATGTGATGGTTATTTCAACCTCCCAAACTAGTTATGATCTCCAGGACCAAAAAAAAAATAAAAAATTTACATGTTGGGTGACGATACTGCTTCAATGTATTGAAACTTTTCTTTTTCCTTCAAGGCTTTAAAAAGGGTTGGAAAATCGGTAAATATCCAAGAAGTAATGGATCAATGGACACTACAGATGGGTTATCCTGTTATCACTATCTTGGGAAATGAAACTACAGACAACATCATAGTCATCTCCCAAGAGCGTTTTGTTTATGATAGTGATGCTAAACCCAAGGATCCTTCTCGTGGAGACAACAGGTACTTATATTTCTCAATATCTTTCAAGAAGCTGTAATAGTTTAAGTAAGTGCTTTATGTGAAGATGGCCCTTTAGAAATCTGAGCTTTGCTTGGTGTCAATAGCATGTGGTGACCCTTCTGTTTGAACTGTAAAGTTGAGGCTAGTTAAAAGAATTGAAAAAAATTTCCCGTTTGCATCCTGACAGTTCTCTGTGACAGCGTCTTTCATGACACATCTGTTTCCTCTCCTTTTCTTTTGATTTTGTCACACTCCATGAAGTAATTTGGAATGTGGTTGTAAGGTCTGATACTTCTTTTTAAGAAATTGTTTTAGTGGACCTCTCCATGCTAATACATTGATTAGGCAGACATAAATGCATGTCAGATACATACTTTGCTTGACTTGGGAAACAGTCAGGAGCTGAACTGGACCTCTGTGCAAGGCAGGGGGTTCTAGTGGTTTCATTTTTGAAGCCAGCTGAACTGATCCTATGGGAACTGTAACACTGGCTGAAATTGGCTTCTCTGCCTCTACCCTTTTTCCACTTATATTGGTTTTTTCCTGCTCCCAGCTGACTCCACACACTTCCTTCATTCCAGAGACAAGCTGACATTCCTGGCTGATCCTGGAGAATCCTCATTGTTTAAAGCAGTTTTGGCATCGTATTTTAAGGCCAAGAATATAGAACTTATGATAGAGAATTGCAAGATAGCCTTTGAAGTTTCTGTGTTGACCTGTTCATGTTGGTGGGAAAGAGGACACACTGTCAACCTGAAATACTCTGTTTGTCCAGTAGATTTAAATTATTAAAATTTAATATGAAATTTTGGTTGACGTGTCTGGAGCTTGTAGAATATTCCTGTTGAGGAAGGCCTAAAATTATAGTTACATTTATTGAAAAGTGTTTAGAAGTTCATTATCCTTTTCTAGAACATGAATATTATGGAACTCAAACATGACACAGAATAAACAGTTGTTTTTCTGGCTGTATTCGAGCAAACTAAGAGGGTATTAAACATCTGTTTAAGTTCTGGGCTGAAATGATTTCCTTTTTGAAAAAGAGATAAAACAACTGAAGGTGGAGTGTTGGAAGTGTTCATGACTCACTGTTCAGTGCAACAGGAGAGAGATTCTCCCTTATTCACCTGAGAATTTCTTTTGTCCAAGTGTATATATGCGTAATGTAATGTGAGTGAATTTTACTACTCAGAATAACAAAGATTATTAGTTGTTTGATTGACTAAAACAGATATGTTAAGCCTTTTTAAGTATTGCAGAGGCTTTCTTAAATAGATTTTCTAGGTATTCAGTATTGATTGAAATAACTTCTGCTGTATTTCATGTGTAAAGACTACTGGGTGTGTAAATGATATCAGGAGTGATGTGGTGGGTTGACCTGGCTAGATGCCAAGTGCCCACCAAAGCCACTCTTATCACTCCCCTTCTCAGCTAAGCTGAGAAAGACTCATGGATCGAGATAAGCACAGGGAGAGATCACTCACCAGTTATTGTTACAGGCAAAACAGACTTGACTTGGGGGAAAAAAAAGTAAAATTATTGCCAATCAAATCAGAGAAGGGTACCGTATAAAAACAACGAAATCTTAAAATACCTTCCCCCCAACCCTTCCTCTTTCCAGGCTTAACTTCACTTCTGATTTTCTCTACCTCCTTACCCCAGAAGTGCAGGGTAATGGGAATGGGGCCTGCAGTCAGTTCATCACTCATTGTCTCTGCTGCTCCTTCCTCCTCAAGTGGAGGGCTTGTGACACTCTTCCCCTGCTTCAGCATGGGGTCCCTCTCACGGGAGACAGTCCTCCATGAACTTCTCCAATATGAAGCATTCCCATGAGCTGCAGTTCTTCACAAACTGATCCAGCATGCATTCCTCTCACAGGATGCAGTCCTTCAGGATCACAGTACTGCAGCATGGATCCCCTGTGGAGTCACAAGTCCTGTCAGCAAACCTGGTCGAGTGTGGGGTCCTTTCTCCAGGGGGGCCACAGGTCCTGCCAGGAGCCTACTCCATCCTGAGCTTCCCATGAGGTCACAATCTCCTTTGGGCACCCACCTGCTCCAGTGTGGGGTCCCCTACAGGATGCAGGTGGATCTGTGCTCCACTGTGGACCTCCATGGGTTGCAGGGGCACAACTGTCTCACCATGGTCTGCACCATGGACTGCAGGGGAACCTCTGCTCTGGCACCTGGAGCACCTTCTCCCACTCCTCCACTGACCTCAGTGTCTGCAGGGCTGTTCCTCTCACATATTCTCTTTTCTTCAACTGCTCTTTCCCAGCAGTATTTTCCCCATGTTACCCCAGAAGCACTACCACTGTCACTTATGTGCTTGACCTTGGCCAGCACTGGGTTGATCTTGGAGCTGGATGGCACTGGCTCTGTTGAACATGGGGGAAACTTGTGGCAGCTTCTCACAGAAGCCATCCCTGTAACACTCCTGCTACCAAAACCTTGCCATGCTAACTCAGTACAAGTGAGAATTAGATTTAGTTTTATTTTCATACGTGACATTAATTCATAATTTAAACTGTGTCTTGTGACATGTGGAACAGTATTATTCTACACCAGCAGGGCCAGTTCTGCTGGGTTTCTTAGGAGATTTTTTCCACAGATTTTATCACAATTATTATTTCTAAATATTGGAAATAAGATTTAGTGCTATAGAAAGCATGAAGAAAGATACCAACATGAGCCCTGCCAGGAATTTAGTGTCCTAACAGGCAATACAGTACATATGTGTGTATCTCCTTTGGCAAGTCTCTTTGCCCTTCTTTTCCTTCTTTGGATTTGTTTTTTTTCTGTGCTTCCATGTCCTTTTAACCACAAATGAGAGGGCCCTTGCCCAAGGAAAACTCTACAGATGAATTGTCTACTCCAGCCAGTTAGAAGACAAAGTTAATTTACCGCTTCCCAGTTGAAGTTATTTGAAAGTCATATTATGTAAGTATAAATACAAAAGAACAAGAACCATATGCATTTAGCAAAAGGTGAAACTTACCTATGCCATTCACCTTTCAAAAAACATCCATCAACTTACCATAAAGTCTTATGACTTAGTTATAAATTGGTGCCTGGAGTGTTATAAAACTGACCATGCAATTTGTTCGTGCACTGTCCACAGGAACATGCGGCTAGATATGTGCAATGGCTCTGTGTCATTAATGTCCTTTCCTATCGACATATTAAGTAAAAAGCAAGACTGACATACTGAAAATAAACTTAATCTTTTAACCAGCAGTGACCTAGATATTTTTCAGGGGTTTTTTTGTGTGTTATGTTTTTTTTTCCCCCACTGGAGAAGTCACTATTGCTTCAGTTACTGTGAAAGCAGTAGACAGGGAAAATCACATTACTGTGTGGCCATTTGATAATTCATGATGCGTTACTCTACCTTGGTTTTTAACATCGAAAGAGCTGAGCTTTGTATGACATGATGCAGCTTTTCTACAGGTACACCAAGAGGAGTGATAACTGGAATGGAAAGAGCACATTGAGGGACATTAAACACTAGTGGGTTCGCTGATGTTTGATGATGAGATACATCTATCTATCTGTATATCTATATATCTATATATCTCATCAACATGCAGTCTTTGGAGGTGTTACGTATCAGTGGCCTCATTCACAGTCCAATAAAGTTGGTACTTATTTCCCCTGAATGACCTATGAATTTAGGTGTTATACATGTGGCTTCCTGGGGAGCCATAGGCACTATAAATAATGGGGAGCGAATATTGTTTATGCCACATTTGAGGTCATGGTCTTGCAGGGCAGGCAACATTGGCTTCCTTAGGGTAGTTTAACTGTGGATAAATTTTGATGATCATTTTAAACACCATAAAGAGTAGAGCTGCACAAAACACAGAAAAATGTACAGGTCCAGGCTTTTCCAGGAGTTTATCATCTAAACAGACAATACGGTTTGCACTGGAAGGCTCCAGGGAAGGCTCTTAAAGCATCCATCTGCCATATAGTCTTTAGTTATCCAGAGGTGGGGCTGTAGTTTGGTATGGCACAGCAATAAATGTCAATTCTATTGCCTTCAAAATGATGAGGAGTTTAAATTTCTGGTTCAGATGCTCTCTAGGCAAATTTAACTTTGCCTTACTGTAGAAAGAGTCACTTTAGAGTAGGTCTTTCAGATGTATCTACTGCATAAGAAATGTAAATATTCAACCAAGTATTTCAAAACCATTCTAGTTTTATAAAATGTCTGTGCTTTTCTTTATGCTGTGTATTTATGCAGCAATTAACTGTTAAAAATGAAAGTGAAGCTGCATATGTAATTTTTCTCTCTGAAACCATATAGAGGAATACAGAAACGGCAAGCAGATTTTTTAAGTGATAAATGGTAAAAGTTGTTGATACCTTTGGCAGTGGTTGATGCCTAGTCTATTATTGTAAGTATCTTTAATTCTTCTACAGAAGAGAATGATTACATATAGTTGATTTTCCAATCTCATGTATATTTGGGCTCCATGTCTTTATACCTGCAAAAAAATGTGTTTCAACAGCCATACATGTATAAACTGTGATTTAACTCTGTACATAGAATCGCCTGTAGGGCATGCTAAACTCTAATATTTGACCTGAAATTATAGAAGGTATACAATTTCACTTCTTTGCAAACTGAACACAGATTTTGCTTGACACTTACATGGTCACATCCATAGTTCTCATTTTATGAGAAAATAAAACTAGCAGTGACAGACACTGTTTCTAGAAATGTCATTCCTTAGAATGGCCAAAATCACCGGCCTTGATTTGAATGTCAAAGAGTATGGTTGGTACAATGCTTCAGTAGAAATTTCAACTTATCCGAGCAAAACTTTAAAACTATAATAACTGTATAATTCATATTCTACCCCCATATAAAAATCCTTTATTTAAGTGTAGGTTTGGTCCTGGACTCCTGTATACCTCTGTGAGAATGGATTATGCTCTTATGTTATAAGGCTACAGGGGAGAAGGTGATATTACATCTGACAGGGTTCACTGGGT